TCAAGGGTGGGGTGGCCGTGCCTCTAGCCTGGCTTCTCTTCAGGATACCAGGCCCACCATTCAGTGTCCATATGCACCCTGGTGGCCAGCGCAAGGAACCCTTCCCAGGTGGAAACCCACAGAGGCCAAGCAGCCAAGGCTTAGAACCTTCCCAGGATTCTGAAGGGAGGGCATTGGGGCGAGAAGCAACCTGACTTTGCTCCAGCAGGGGTTGACTAAAGTGATGCCAGTGAGGGCCAGATGGCAAAGTCTAAGGAGGCCCTCACTCCTGGGTGCAAGTTGTCACCACTCCAGCCGACCATGAGCGGCCCCATATCGGGTGCCAGGCCCCAGGCCCCAGGGCTGAGCAAGGCTTACCCAGCTCCCAAGCTGCCAGGCTGCCACACTGGAGGACGGAGGCAAGACGCAGGAAGCAAGTTACCGAGTAAGCGTGGAAGGGGAACCTGCATGGGGACGGCGTTCCCAGAGGCCTCATGTCGAAGGGAACGTTTCAGCGTGAAGAACGTACGCTTTTGCAGAAAGGAGTTTTAGGAACTCAAGTCAGAGAGGGAATCGTTGAGGCGAGGCTTCTGGCTTTGACTCTGAGTGAGACGGGGTGTTGGAGGGTTCTGGACCGAGGCGTGGCGTGTTCTGATTTAAGTTTTAAAGCTGCTATAGGAAGACAAACATGGGTGTAGAGTCAGGGTAGAAACAGGAAGCCTGGAAGCTGGTGCAACAATGGGGGTGTGTGTGTGGCAGGGACAGTGCTAGTGGTGACCAGGGGTGGGGTTTTGAACAGATTAGATGTGGGACTCGAGAGAAAAAAGGGGGGAAAGGTTGCTCAGAGCCTGGTCCAGGCATCTGGAAGGATGTAGTTGCCGTTCGCTAAGATGGGGAACTAGGGTTGGGAGGGGCGATGGGGGACAGCATGGACCCCGCTGTGTTGGGCTGTCCATTAGACAGACCTCTGGGGGAGGCTCTGCGTGGGCAGTGGGATCTACAGGAGCAGTCTACGCTAAGATATAAATTTAGGATTCTTCAGCTTACCGATGGATTTCATGTGATAAGACCAGATGAGATTAACAAGGGTGTGAGTGTGGATGGAGCAGAGAAAAGAATCTTGGGGACACACCGACACTCAGAGGCCAGTAAGGGGACTGAGTGAAGGGGAGGGGACCCAGGCAGACGGCATCCTGGCAGCCCAGGGCGGAAGCATTTCCTGGGGACGGAACAGGACCAATGCTGTGACAGGCCAAGTGAGATGAGGGCTGAGAAGTGACTGCTGCTCAGTGACCTTGACGGGCAGTTTGGGGAGTCGGTAGAAATGCCAGCAGAAGCGGCGAAAGACTGACTGCAGCGGGTTTAAGAGACAACAGCAGGGGAGGAACTGGAGAAAGCCCACAGAGGCAACTCTTTCCAGAAGTTCTACAGCAAACAGAGCAGAAAAATAGGACAGTGGCAGGGGAGGAGATGGGGGCGAGAGGCTTTTTTCTCTTTTCTCAGATGGGAGAGGAAAGTGGCTCATGTGACTGCACAGAAGGATCCAATGAGAGCAGGAAACGGTGCTTGCGGGGAGGGGGGGCGGGCAGAGAGACGTTCCAGGGGTGGCATCTGGTGCGAGAAGGAGGGGGTGGCTTTGATCAGGAAACGTTATTTCCAGTCTCAGGAGGAGCACGAAGGATATGGGCACAGGCGCTGGCAGGGAGCGGTGCGATGGGGGGGTGCCATCTGAGCCAACCATGTGAGTCCTCACTGCATCAAAACTTCTGGAGGGCTGGCCGAGTGGCTCAGTTGGTTAAGAGCTCGCTCAAGAGTTTGAGCTCTGAGCAACAGCAATTCGAGTCCAGCCCGAGCTGAGCAGCCGCTGAGCTGCCAACAGGTAGCAGGATGGCTCAGCTTTATAAAAAAAAAAACTTCTGGAGCTGCGACACCCAGAGGGATTCCAGGCTCAGGGGCCAACAGGGTCATGAGGTGACCAAGGAGACAGCTGCGCCTTCCCTTCCCTGACAGACCTCTGCACTCCCAGGGCACAAAGGGCACGGACCCGAGCTCTGAAGATACGAAGTGGGACCCATTTTTATTAGTTACTGGAAGCTGGCAAACGATCCTATCGTTGCTATAATTCTCAGTTTCTCTGCCTGAACAATCTCGCTTTTCTCAGGATTGCTGAGAAGATTGAATACATGCAAAAGGCTCAGGTCATGAAAATTCCAGTTGCAGGAACACAGGAAAATATCATTTTTGTAAAATTTGACAACATGCAAAACAATAAGATGTCATGCAGTTATATACACAGAGTAAAAATATAAAAATATGCCTCAAAATAATAAACAATAACTTCACTTTCATCGGTTTCACAGTGGGGTTGGGAAGGCATATTGATGGTGGCGTGAATTGTACATGCCTTAGTTCTTAAACCAGGTGGTAAGGTATATTTTTTGTATACCTAAAAATATTCTTCCAGCCTTCCAAGTCTTTTGTTTGTTCCTGTTCTACAAAGTCACTTGTCCAATTTTTCCTTGGGATATGTACAAGGTCTGACAATTAAGTTTGCGAACTTGTTACAATAATGTTGCTAACCTTTTCTGATGTCAGAGGGATTATTCATTATGAATTTGTACCAACTGGACAAACAGTGAACCAAGTTTACTATTTGGAAGTGCTGAACAGGCTGCATGAAAAAGTTTGACGACCTGAACTTTTCGCCAACAATTCATGGCTCTTGCATCACGACAATGCACCAGCTCACACGGCACTGTCTGTGAGGGAGTTTTTAGCCAGTCAACAAATAACTGTATTGGAACACCCTCCCTGCTCACCTGATCTGGCCCCCAGTGACTTCTTTCTTTCCCCCAAAACAAAGGAAATATTGAAAGAAAGACATTTTGATGATATTCAGGACATCAAGGATAATATGACAACAGCTCTGATGGCCATTCCAGAAAAAGGGTTCCAAAATTGCTTTGAAGGATGGACTAGGTGCTGGCGTCGGTGCATAGCTTCCCAAGGGGAGTAATTCGAAGGTGACTGTAGTGATATTCAGCAATGAGATATGTAGCACTTTTTCTAGGATGAGTTCGCGAATTTAATTGTCGAACTTTGTAGACATGAGTGACCAGGAGGCTGGGTCCAGCCAGAGCTTGGTTATCAGACAGGGCCATGCATTCAAAAAGCAAGAGGAGACTGAAGAACAAAAGGACAGCAACTTGTCTGTTCCCCTTCCTCAATTCCCCAATAAAATCTTTTTTAAAAAAGCAAGGGGACACACGGAGGTGCACACAGGTTGTTATACACGCTCTATTTCCTTGCTCCATCTGCTGAGAGGACCTGGAAGCAATGGCACTCTGATGACAGCAAGCACTCCCAACACACAGACCATGGTTTATAAATGCCATTCTCCACAGAGGGAACCAGGATTGCCTGGAGACAGCTGATTCTAGGGCTGGGGTGGGGACAGTGCACGGGAAGCCGGGAACTTCCTGTGATGACAGAAAGTAAGGGAGCACTCCCAGAATGGAAGGATAGGGGCACGTCAGAGAGACACTGGAACAGCTTCCAGTGGTCAAAGATGGAACAAGTTGAGCAAGAAAATAACTAATGTAGGAATGGACAATAAACCAAATAAGTACCCATGAGTCCATACTGATATACACAAATTCTTGAATAAATAAATAAATGGGGGAGGATAGACAAGTGTCCAATATGGAAAATTTCCAAATAACTTAGGTGGACATTCTTCTATCGAGGAGGTGAGGCTTAACTCTAACCTTAAATGTGGATGGTGCACGGTAACTTTCTTCTGAGGAGGATTATGGGCAGGGGGTGGGTAATTTCATAACCAAGAAACTGGCAGATTCCCTCAGCCAGGGGACCAAGGTCACCATTAATGGTGACAAATCACGTACCTCTGAGAGAACATGTTGACAATGACACTTCATCTCTGTGGTCTTCCTCCTCCAAAATACCAGACTCCTCAAAACTATCAAGGTCATCAAAAACAGGGAAAGTCAGAAAAATGGTCACAGATCAAAGGCGGCTAAGGAGACATGATGATTAAACACAGGGTGGACACCTGCGTGGGACCCTGGGGTAGAAAGCAGGCATTAGGTAAAAACTAAGGAAACCAGAATAAACAGTTTCAGTGTTGGCTCCTTGGTGCCAAACGTACCATGTGAAGAAGACGGGGAAACTGGGTGAGGGTCACATGGGAAGTCTGGACTATACAGGCAACTTTCCTATAAATCTGAAACCGTAATAAAACTCAAAGTTGATGACAACAAAAAGCAACAGGAAACACACACCTTCAACGAGAGCAGGCACCTCTCCTCTGTAAACCAGACGCACCAGTCGATCACACCCCTCCCCGTGCAGTGGGAAAAGGACTCACGGTGTAGCCCCAGGACCAGGTGCAGTGCCCTCCATCCAGAGTGGGTTACCTGGGACCCCGAGAGGCCGGCCCGGGGGGACCACGCATTTCATGGCAGAGCAAGCAGCCACCAGGAGGCCCTTTCTCCCCTGACGTGCGACTTTCAGCAATCAAGGGAACCTGGACCTGGCCCTCCCAGAGCAGCCACACTCCATCCAATCCTTCCCAGTGGCCAAGTCCACACACCAAACACATCCTGTGATGTGCACCATGGCCAGGAGGGGCTGCTGTCCCTCAGGGGACAGCACACCTAGGCATGCCCATCCCAACACATCCTGAGACACAGCCCTTCCTCCGTGAGCCCACACAGATGCAGGAGGCGACAGGGAGGCCCTGGCATCCTAGCCACCCCATCCCGCCACAACACCCCTCTGACACCCCTCCCGGCAGAACGCTGCACCCTTGGCAGAGCACGCTGGACGCTGGCTCAGGCGACCTCTAGACCAGCGCCGGACACACAGCAGGCCTGCGTCTGATGCAATGACAGTACACTCTACTGGAGGGCAGGGCCTGCATAAACAGACTCGTGAGACACGTGTTTCTATTATGCCTTCTCTGCCCCCCACTCTTCTCTTGGGGACACTGCGGAACTGACCACACCAGTGTCCAGGCCACAGCGCAGGCGTGAGCCGAGCCCAGGAAGTCCACAATTCCTTTCTCGTATTCATCTTGGACCATTCGAGCCCAGCACATGGTGGGCACCCGCAAAGGCTTGGGAAAGAGGAGGAAAAGAAAGGAAAGCAGGAAGGAAGCCCGCAGCCAGGCTGGCTCGCCGCAGAGCGGAGCGATACAGGACAGGCATTTCTGGGGGACTGATACGGTGGGGAATGCCTGCCCAGCATCCATCTCCACTCTCTTCCTTAGAAACATAACTCAGATTTCAAGCTGACTACACAGCCTCCTGTTTAACTAGTTGGTGCCATGTCACTAGCTTCTGGCCAAAAAAACACATAAACAAATTTGACAGGGACTCCCAGGAACGATCCTTAAAGGCAGCTTACTCAGCTGGGTGGCAGGCCCCTTTTGCTCACCATTCCTCCTTGTGCTGCCTGGAACACAGGCCTGATGGCTGGAGCTGTAGCAGCAATCTTGAACCATAAAGTGCTTCGCAATAAAGACCATGTGTTAAGACAGTGCAGCAAAAAGATACAAAAGGGTCTATGTCCCCAATTATCCCATGAAGCTGCCCGCCTCTGGGCTTCTCCTAAGTGAGAGAAATGTTAACTTCTTTCTTGTTAAAGGTACCGTGTTACTTTGTATTTTCTGCTCTTTGCAGCCAAATTTAGTCCTAACTGATGTAACAGGACAAGGCTGTTTCATAGAGCAGGTCCCACAGGTCACTGCTCTCTGCTTGAACATTCTTTTTCCTTTTCTCTGGCCTCACTCTTGGATGGAAAAACTGTGACCAGACAGCCCTGGGCAGCCAAGCCACCTGGAGCCTCAGGGGTGACCATCTTCTATGGTCTGGGGATAAAGCACTGGGGCTGACAAGTGACAGCTGTGAGCCACCACCAGCACCAGCAACAAAAAGACCCAGAGCCAAGTCAGAGCCCGAGAGGCCTGTGCCCCAGGGACCTCAGGGGTCACTGCGTGGCCTTCCCTCTGCCTCCTAAATTCTTCCCTCTTTGCTTTCTCGCAGAGACCAGTGTTTCGGCTGCCAGCCCTCGACCACATAGCAGACAAGGATGGCTGGACCCCACGCAGGTGGGTGCCTGCTCTGCACAATCGGAGCCCATGACTGACCCTGGTCCCCCTGTGGAAAGGTGTGTGTAGCCTCTGGTGCCACCTCCCATGCCACATCAGTCCCCACTCCCAGAGACACAAACCACAAGCTCCAGCCAGCCTCTCCCCGGCTTAGACCCCACAGTGGCCGTACTGCCCAGGACACAGCCCAAGCTCCTGAACTTGGTTCCTGAGGCCATGGAGGGCCAGCGGCCGGCCTGTCCCACTCACCTTCTACCCAGCACTTTCTCTCCCTGAGTACCGACAGGTGAGAAACAGCCATGCACTCCCTGCCTTGTCCCCACAGGTGGGGCACTCTCTCTGCCGGGAAGCCACCCCCACCCTTCCTTTCTCCTGGACTGATCCGCTCCTGCAGGCCTCAGCTCGTAATCACTTCTTTCCAGAAACTTCCCTCATGCCCTTTGCTCCAGCCCCCATGGGCTGCCCCTCCTTGGGCTCCAGCATCAAACCCAAGACCGTGGGCTCCCTGGGGCAGGTACCACATTGGTCATTATTCCCCCTGTGGAAGGGCCAGCTGGCACATAGCAGAGAGGAGAAGGTGCACTTGGAGAAACGGCTGCCCGACCTGCCCTAACTTCAGACCAGGAAGCTGTGGCTCACAGACATTGCTTCCAACTCAACAGTGAGGTCTTGGCCTTGCAGGCTGTATTCAGGGCTCGCCCTGGATTTTGTGACTGTGTTTACTAGCAGACAGGGCCTCACCTGGCATTCCCCACATCGCCCTCAGAGGGCAGGATGCTTGTCTGAACAGCCTTCACTTTCATTCCCACTGCAGGCAGGGAGGGACCGGCTTCAACATGTCCAGAACCGAAATTCATAGCACAGGCCACGGTAGCCACAGGTCGCTTCTGCTGGTGAGATGGGACCATCCGTAGCCCCCATGAAGTGTGGCCTCCTGCCCCAGTGCAGGAGGGGAGGGGACAGCGGTGACTGCCCCAGGCCTGACAGAGAGGAAGCTGTGAAGCCCCTTGAGACACTCCCCCTTGGCCAACAGGCTCCAGTGCTCACAGGTCAAAGCCCAGTGGCTGGCAACTACCCATGCCCTGTGCATAAGCAGGGAAGAGGTCCTGTGAGCTCCTCGGGGAGGACCACCCTCAGATTCTAAACCCCTCTGCAATGGGTCAGCCCCTACCACACCCACAATTTCTGGGCACAGGGCCTGCACTCATACAGGGGTACAGAATCCAGCAACCCCTGCGCGGTGGTCTGCACAGGACCACCAGGCCCACCGGAAGCTACAGGGTGTGGAAAAGCTCGGGGTGAGTCTGATGCCGCCACCTGCCCGCACCGCCTCTGAAGCCTGCCAGCACCACCTCTGAAGCCTGCCAGCACCACCTCTGAAGCCTGCCCGCACCACCTGAAGCCTGCCCGCACCACCTCTGAAGCCTGCCTGCACTACCCCTCCTCCTCTCCCCACCTCAGTTACACCCCTGCCTTCCCACAGATGCCTCACCAGAAGCAGAGAGGATGACTGACAGCAGTGCCGCAGTGACTGTGTGGCCTTTGCTTCCTAGGACTTTGGAGAGGAGGGCCGGATGTGGCGGATGCTGTTTAAAGGGGCTCCGCCTGCAGCCTTGCCCAGAGCCAGGCCAGGAGGCACAGGGAAGGCACTGCTGTCCTGAATGTCCTCTCATCGGGGCTAGGCTCACCCACGGGGACCTCCCTCCACTCCAACATCTGTGCTTTTTAATATAACTTCCTGAAATGTTACTCTGCAATTATTTCCAGAGATTTAAGTGAGATCCCCAAGTACATACAATTAGACTAAAATTGTAATTTTAAATTACTGCTAATTTGAATAAACATCAAGCTCGCCTATCTCCAAGCCAATGAACCCTCAGAGGCCACCGAGCTCCCCTCAATGAAACACAGCTCCTAAAACATGTGAAGCCCCCTCAACACACTCTAGAAACGGTCATTATTTTCCCAGCTTTGCAAAATGAGACTGTCCCTTGGGCCACCTCCTGAAGGAGCAGAGCTGCCATGTTGACAGTGCGGCGATGACGTGAATCCATGGCGCCAGCATCAGGTCCCAGCGGACAGGGGACAAGGATGCAAGGTCACCCCTCGTCAGCTCTGCTTTACTGCACAGAGGCATCCCCTCTGATTCACGGTGGCCTTTCGTTGGCTGTCCCCCTGTAACCTCCCATGCGTGGGTTCCTCGAAAGTCCAAGAGCTCCAGAATGATCGACTTAGGGACAGAAGGCTACCGGCTATGGGACAGGATGTTCCACGTGACCTGTCCTGCAGCTCCAGAGTGCTGGCAGAGGTGGCAGGCACACCCACGTGCTCCACCAAATGACACCCCCACCCCATCGCCAAGCCAGTTTTCCCAATGTCCTGGCCCACATGAGACCAAGAGAAGGTGGGGGAGGGTGGTGTCTTTCTGAACAGGAGGGGCAGGCAGGTGGCTCCGTTTTACCTCTGGACCCCTCAAAAAGCTGTGCAGAGTCCCCAGTGTCTGCAGGGCTGGTGCCTGGGTCTCATAAGAATCCACAGGCAGCAGGCCAAGGCCAAGGCCAGAGTTCCCCAGGTAAGGGAGGAAGAGGAACTGCCCAGGGAGGAGCTGCCTGCTGCCCATGGTGGGGCATGGCCAGCCCAGGGGTGCCTGAGACCTGGAGGGACGCAATACAAGGGATGGACGGGGCAGTCACGGGCATGTCCCTCGGGACATGGGGATGAGTTGCAAGCTCCCCGAGGAGCATCTCTGAGAAAGCATCCCTGGAGAGGACAATTCAGAATTCAACATCTGCTGGTCCCTGAGGGCCAAGCAGCCCCTAAGTGGTAAGCCCGCCCTCCGGAGCCCAACCCTGGCCAGCAGGGACAGAGGCAAGAGAAGAGAAGAGAAGAGAAGAGAAGAGAAGAGAAGAGAAGAGAAGAGAAGAGAAGAGAGGACACACACACAGCCCTCCATCCACTGCCAGCACCCAAGACGGGTCAGGATTCAGCCAGTGGGAGATGCCCCCGACATGTGACAATTACTCGATTACTCATTTTTGTTACTGAAATGAGACTGTTCCTGGTACTGAAAGTAACCAGAGAGAATGTTATTGACTCAGGAACAACAGAAAGTTCTGGGACCTCCCTGAACAGAAAGATCTAGCCCCCCGAGACAGGTTCAGAGGGACCGAGGGGGTGAAAAGAAAGCTATTTCTCACTTGTCTGTTAACGCAGCCCAGGTGATTCGATGTGGTGGGTACAGTGGCGTGAAGCTGTGAGGTGTCAGCGGGACACCATGAGCCCCACAGTGGGGAGGACAGATGACATGCCTTTCTCCAACAGGTTCTCAGCCTGGTGTCCTCCAGCCCCCAAACTCCATAGGAGCCACACACTCAGGCATTATGTTCCATGTGTTTGGTCCAAACCCAGTTTAGACCCACAGAAAATCTTGCCCACATCCATCTGCTGGGTGGGACGCATGGGTCTGCCGCAGGCACAGAAGCTGCCCATCCGGTCCCACAGCGTGGCGGTCAGTGGTACCAGTTCAATGTCAGCTGAACCAACCTCACACGTTTCTACGGCACGAAAACAGTCCCCAAAGTTGGCTGGCTTCTGGGGCCACGACGTATCTCTGACAGCCCATTTCCACCCTGTAATGGCAGGGCTGGGGGCTGGGGCCTCGGGGAGGTACGGGGGACGTGAGATCTGGGCCTCCGTGTCAACCCAGCCTCTTCAGCCTTTCTCCTGACTCCTGTTTATATAGATGCAAATGGACCAATATCGCCCTTTAAGTAAAATAACGATGAATGCTTCAATGTGGGGCAGAAGCAACTTTCTGTTTAGGGAGTGGGTAGCCAAGCCACGTTCCCTCATACAAGAACTGTGGTCTTTATGGATACATATTTCCCCCCTTCCCCTGAGGGAAGTAGGAAAATAATATTTGTCACGCTTGTAATTAAGAGCAGAACAGATGGCGATGGTTTAAAAATCTGTTCACAAAAATCGATGCAGGAGCTGGGATCGTCAAC